GAATTGTAGGCAACCGAGGTCTCGTGACGGATGCCGCATACCTTCAAGAACTGCTCGAATTTATTTCCGACACACTCGGTTCCGTTGTCGGATAGATTTGCCTGTCTGCTTCTCGACATACGCAAGTATCAAATGCTTCAGCTTTGGATTTCAGGAAGTAAGTGTGTGTCATCCGACTGGCATCGTCTATGAAGGTAATGACATATTTTCTTCTTCCTAGCGATGTCTTCTCCATTGGTCCGCATAGGTCCGAATGGACCAGCTCCAGCAATTCAGTGGATCGCCTACTCACCGACTTGAACGGTTGCTTGTGGTGCTTACCTTCACAGCACAATCGATGCACGTTGGTATGTCCTGACCACGGACTTCGATCCCAGCAACCATTGACGGCAAACGCTTCACACTGTCCAGATTCAGGTGGCCGAACCATCTATCTCACCGGTGGAATCACTGGCTACCTCGGAAAAGTTCCTCGAGAAATTGATCTTGCAAATACGGGTCACCGAGAACAGGTTGACCGCTAGGTCTGGAACGAACAGAACATCAGCGATATCTAGAGTACATACGTTTTACATCAGCATCCAGTTTGACGCTGCCGACGGCCGGAACAGGAACTTCAGTTGAATTGGCCACAAAAAATGCTCTCCAAGGCTTCTTTCTTGCAGATAAGCGCTTGCTCGGATTTACACATGTCCTGTTTTTGAATCCAAAATCCAGTCTCCAGCTTCGATTTCAGGAACGCCATCAAAGCCGTTTGCTTTCCATGGAATCCTTCTCGGGCTTCGACTTCAACTTCACCTGGCAGTCGGACGCGTAGTGCCCAAGCTTGTCGCATTTGAGACATTTTACACCGGACTTATCCTTCTTCTTCTACTGGAACTTCCTTTCACGAGTGGCTTGCGCTCCGGCAGCACCGCTTGACTTGACATTGGTAAAGCTTGCTTCATTTAGAATTGATCATTTTAGATGGTCAAGTTTTGAACCCACCACAGCATACTTTTGGCGCTACTGTATATGGACGATCAAATGTAAAATACTGTGGTAGTCACAGCATAGTTCTGTCAAAACCTCAGCATTTTCATTGATCCATTGGAACAAACTTTTGCTCATATTGTGGTGCTCCTGGTGGACGGATTTGGAAGTTCTTGGCGCCCACGTGTCGGGAATTTTGTCAGCTTCACGTATGTATTTTTGGCATTCCGCAAATCGACTGTACTTTGTAAACAATCAACATGGAAGGGAAAAAAAATTGTGCACAGTTATTTGGAAAATCCATTGTGGTCTGCATCTAGGCTAGCTAAACAGCTGAAATTGCCCAGAAATACCGTATGGCGCGTTATCAAACGGTATAAGGAAACATTGACGACGATTCGGAAGCCTCAAGCCAATCGTCGGAGTGGAACTGTCGACCGGAAACTGCGTGGTAAGATTTTGAAGACGATTAAGAGGAATCCCAATCTGTCGGACCGTGATTTGGCCAGAAATTTCGGTGCTGCCCATAGTACCGTGAGGAGAACTCGACTCCGGGAAGGAATCAAGTCGTATCGAGCTAGCAAACAGCCAAATCGGACCATAAAACAGAATAGTGTGGCCAAAATCCGTGCGCGGAAGCTATACGACCAGGTGCTGACCAAGTTCGACGGGTGTCTTCTGATGGACGATGAAACCTATGTCAAGGCTGACTTCGGGCAAATCCCAGGTCAAAAATTTTACTTGGCAACGGCTCGGGGGGATGTTCCAGCCAAATTTAAATTTGTTTTTGCCGACAAATTTGCACGAAAAGTTATGATTTGGCAGGGCATTTGCAGCTGTGGCAAAAAAACGAAAGTTTTCGTTACAAATAAGACAATGACGACGGAACTATACCAAAAAGAGTGTCTCCAAAAACGAATTTTGTCGTTCATTCGATCCCACGACCATCCCGTAATGTTTTGGCCAGATTTGGCAAGCTGTCATTACAGCAAAGTCGTTCAAGAATGGTATGCAGAGAAAGGGGTCCAGTTTATTCCGAAAAACCTTAACCCTCCCAACTGCCTCCAGTTCCGCCCTATTGATAAATACTGGGCAATCATGAAGAGGAGACTCAAGGCAAAGGGAAAGGTTGCCAAAGACATCAATCAGATGAAGACCTGGTGGAATAAGATAGCTAAAACGATGGACGAAGAAGGTGTGCGCCGCCTAATGAGCCGTGTTACAGGAAAAATTCGAGAATTCCTTCGAAACCGTGACGAATAATTTTATCCGTATTTTTTTCTTAAAAATATGAAGAAAACGCTACATTTGTATAAAAAAAGATCTTGAATTCAATAATAAATAACTGAAATACAGGCAATTGTTTTTGTTCCAATTCTATCTGAAGCAAGCTTTATGCATGTCTTGTCTTGGAGAATTTTCGATTTCACCATATCCGCCGTGAGCTTGATACCTGAGGCATTCAGTCCCTTGATCATGGGCTCGTAGTTCTTTGGGAGGCCCATGAGCAGGATCAGCGACAACCATTCATCATCCAACACGAAACCAATTTCTCCCAGCTTGTGGCTCGTGGACATGATTTCGTCGACGTACTCCTCGACGGCATGCTTGGCATACACAGTTTTGGTCACGAACCGCTCATTTGCTAATAACTTTGCACACAGTTAACGAAACATAGTTCTTTTTGAAGCAGTAGATAGAATAGAGTGTAAGCTTGTTATAGTCGAAAAGATTTATAACTCCAAATGTAACACATACCAAAAAGCTCTTGGAGCTCAATAAACGGGCCTAGTAACTGGACACTGTCCGAGTAGATATCATTTGAAGAACATTGGTCGGGTTCAGAGCGACATCTGCCTTTTCTGTAGCATAGAACGAGAAACCTCTGCAGTTGCGGTGCATTACACAGGCGTAGATCTAAATTTCTTCGTAGTGTTATCTTACAACTTAGTGTCCAGGCAATTAGCTGTCCACTCATTAAATGGTGGTCAGCTTGCATGATACGAACAGTAACAGGGGTACTACAAAAGTTCAAATAATGGACGCAGTGATTCAACTCCAAACCGTTTTCAGGCTGTTCCAGGTCTCCTTTGCAGTCTTGGCCCGCTGGACAAGGCTGTAGTTGTACGGTTCAATACTAAGGCAGATGGTTGCCAACGCCCTGTCCGACAAATCCTGGTCGACTTGAACACCTTCCGGGGAATCTACTGCGTGCCAGGTTCTCTCGCAAATCATCACCATCCGCATCGCAAAGGTCCAAATCACGTAGTTCTCCCGTCCTTTGAGTTTTTGCACCACCGGAAGCGAAATACTGCCGCTTGGAATCCTCTCATCGCTCACGACTGGCACATTCTGACTTGAAGTGCCACCAGCTTGACCTGCAGTCTGGTTTCCAGGAGGCTCCAAGTTATCTCCGGAACACCGAGTTCTTCCCATGGCTTCGCTTCTTTGGTGACTTCGAGAAAAAAAATTCACTTTCGGCCTGATTCGCACGGCACAAGTTGGAACCTGGGTGATGCGAAGACGGACCCTTACAGCGAACCAATGTTTTACTCTCCCGGTGCGACGAAACGAATATAAGTATTGTAGTCCATCAATATTAAAGATGTCCAAGCTTATCTCAAATTATTCTATTAATAGTGAGTTATGATTTTGCAAATATTTCAAAATAACTTTCAAACATATTTTCATCAAAAATTTGTTCATTTTACATCTCTCTAATCATTCACGAATTTACGAACATAAACGAACAATTGAAAAGTCACGGTTGAGTTTTACGCATAATACTGTTTGGCAGCGTTTTCTGCCGTTTTCTGACGAAGAATAGTACTGCCAATATTGAAAAGAAGCCACACCCCATCACTCAGCTCGGAACCTATTATATGTAGGTCTGATTGGTAATAAGAGACTGAAATTCCTGAGAATAAGGCGTTTTTTGTTCTATCCCAGACTAACGAAAACGAAGTCGATGTTTAACTTCTGAAAAGTAAAAAGTCTCGCTGTCTAAAATGATAAAATATGTTTTATAGATATACATTTCTAGTGTCTTTATATTGTTGAAAATTGCCGTATCATTTAAATTGTTTCTTTCAAGACACATGCTTTGTAATCCCACAGCATCCCACATCGCTATTAACCTCGCCAAGTTCATGCTGCCATCTTTGCGCACATTCAGTGCCAACTGCCACCGCAACGAATAGCTGAACTGTAACAATAATTACTTTGTACCTCAGTGACAACCGTCACAGCTTCTTCCCACTACCTTTGCCTGCATTAGACAAATAATATGAACAGAACGAGGAACGGTTGCAATTGCTTCCTGGTTGCAGTGCACCATCGTCCCTTCTCGCTCAGCTCAACACAGCTGCGCTGGTTGCGGCGGACATAGCATATACGAAGGGATTAACCGTTCCTCACGTACACGTGTGTTTGTGACCTCCGGTGGCCGACAAACAATTAATTACTTCTCTGACTACCATATTTAGCAGCAGCAGCAGCTGTCACTTGTTCCGTGATTCCTAGAGGGATTACCTCCAACGAGCGAACACCTGAACGCGGGTCGGAACCTGCCCGCTAATTGTCCAAGGTCGTTCGTTGATCAATACTTAAGCATCTTACGGCTGGGTGCCTCGGTGGAGTTTTCCACCGAGGTGGTGAACAGATTTTCTACAGTCCAGCGACTCCCGCCCGTCCGTTCGACAGCTTTCAATTAAGGTTTATGTTGATTTATTGCCCTAATAACGAGCAGATATACACATTTTATGTGCGTGTGCTACAATCACGCTGTGCCATGCTCTTCCACTTGGTTTTAGATCTCTGTCTCACAGAACAACCACCGAAAGAGCACACCAGCAATAAAATAAATTGGCGATATATTCACCACCGAGTGTCACACTCGGCAGTGTTTTATCGCTCTTGATTTCGGTGCTCCACGCTTCGTGGTCATTCGTTGGTCTTAATTTAGAAATGGTCCATACACAATATCTTGGATCCACTTTTGGGCAGTTGGGATTGGATTTTGGACTCACCTGTCCGGCCCTTGCCGGCTTTACAATGAACGGCCACCACGTTCTTGCTGTCCGCCCGAAGGTGCTCGTCCACATCCCTGCAGAACGACGTTATCAGTTCGATGTCCGGCGGGTTATGGTCCTTGAAGGGGTACACGGAGTAGTACTGCAATAAAGAGAGGAAGCGGTTGGAACATGGTTAAGCTTAGATCGATTAGAGGGAGGTTTTTGGGGGTAGAAATTGATAAAATAATGGTTTGTGGTTCGATTTGTCATTCCACTTTTTTTTCAAGCCTGCAGAAAATTTGGTTGCGATAAAGAAATATAAACAGTTTCGCCGAAAACAGCAAGTGATCGGGAGATCGAAATTCAAAATGATTTAGAATATTCGTATTCTCACTTGCACCACCTAGAGGGAGATTCTCGAACGAAATTGTACACAATCCTGTTCTATAGTATGAGATGGGGTAAGATCCAAATGAATTTTGGCAAATTTTGAAAACATTACAACTTCAAACATTGAACTAGCAGTGCTCCTTAACAGATCATCAAAAACGAGATAAATGAAAATGAAAAAAAGAACTTTGACTATATGTTTTTTTAGTATTACTTCTACGTGAAGTCAACGATTTACATAGTTGAAGATGCTAATTTCAAATAACAGACTGTAGTGGTAATTTTTATACGATAGATGGAGTAGATGAAAGCATAGAGTTGATAGTTCCGTTAGAGTACGGCAGTGTGAAGATTGCATATAGAGATTAGACAAGCGAGCTAGGAAAACTTTTAAGGAAGGTACAAATCGGTTTTTTCATCTCTCTTTACCAAACTCCCCCTTTGGAGAGGGATTGTGAGGGGTGTCCCCCCCCCCACAACTGGCAAAAAGAGATGAAAACCGACCCGCTCAAGTACCAACTGTGTGTTTGAAACAGTCCTACCGATTTTTTACCGCACTTCAGTTGTTATTTGAAGGAAGGCATCCAGTCGTAGGTTAGGAAATTGCAACTATTGTTGACGATGACAGGAGCACATATCGTGGTAGGGGTAAACAATAGTTGCAATTTCCAAACCTACGACTGGATGCCTTCCTTCAAATAACAACTGAAGTGCGGTAAAAAATCGGTAGAACTGTTTCAAACACACAGTTGGTACTTGAGCGGGTCGGTTTTCATCTCTTTTTGCCAGTCGTGGCGGGGGGGGGGGGGGGGTACACCCCTCACCATCCCTCTCCAAAGGGGGAGTTTGGTAAAGAGAGATGAAAAAACCGATTTGTACCTTCCTTAAAAGTTGTCCTAGCTCGCTTCTCTAATATCTATATACAATCTTCACACTGCCGTACTCTAGCGGAACTATCAACTCTATGCTTTCATCTACTCCATCTATCGTATAAAAATTACCACTACAGTGTGTTATTTGAAATTAGAAAAAAAATAAGTTATTTTGCCCTGAGGGTGCATCTTACCCTACACTATACACACTCGTCTCCTGCCGATCATATGTGTCTGTACCGCTCTTTAGCCGCTCAGTATCAGTCGATGAAGAACAACTCCATTGGTCCAACTCCATACATCCTGGCACGGGTTGTTCAGTTCTGGATTTTTTTTTATTGGGTCGTATGTAACAAACGTAAACAAATTGGCATTTTAATACTACCAGACACTACTCTGCTTACTCTTTCTAGAGGCAAAGTTTGGGCCCGCTACCTCATTTCTGTTTCATTTGATCGTCAAAAAACTATTCGTTGTATGTGTCAACTGACCAAAACATAGCTCAATGTTACATACGACACCTAACTTCTATAGGGGTGTCAATCGTCGTATGCAACAAATTTGACAAAAGCGTGAAAACTGCTCATAAGACCTGTTGGTTTTTTTTTCTAATAAAAGTGCAAATTTAGCAACTATTCAATGTAAAACGGTTGTGGGTGGTCTATAAAATGATAACCACGCTTTCATAATAACACATTTTTAAACCGCTGAAAAGCGCTCGGACGAATGTGAAAACACGGGATGCAAAAACTCGTATAATATTGATTGGTTAAAAAACGTTTGTTTTTCAACAGGAACGCTATCAATACCTTACACTTCTGAGATGTTAGTTAATGGGAATGTTGAAGAATTATCCATCTCATTGAAAATAGAAACATTTTTTTGTTCACCAAAACAAAACACCCCGTCTCTCTAATTGACAAAAATGTTACATACTACCCAATCAAAAAGCACTCCAGAGTTCAATGTGAATTAAGCGCCTGAGCTGTAAGCCGCACCTCCGACTGTCGGAGCAGCTAGAGCGGTACAGTAGGGGGGGGGGGGGCTTATTTTTCAAAATCGTTCGGGGACATGTTTCGCATGTGAAAAATCATTAATGGAGCTAATTAAGTAATATATAAAAAATTGAGCCTTTTTCGTTAACATTTAAAGGCAGCACAAGAGGTCTAAGTCCAAAATATCGAACGAATACTGCTTTAGAGAGAGTTTACTGTAATCAGATTTATTGTTCTTTATCATTATCTCTCCTAATATCAAATTATCATACTCACACTGCATCTAGCACCGCTGATTGTAAAATGTAGATCAATATTTAAGCCTAAGTCCATATGCACGTTCATTGTTATAACATACAGCTGTGTTCGATAAAATAGTAGCGAACATTTAAAAAAAAATTAAAGTCTTAAACTTAGCAGATGCGCAGACATATTTCTGATCGATTGGTGATATAATTATTGAAATTGGTTTAGGGGCAACTGAGTTATTAACGTTCAAAATCTTTCATAATTATGTTACATGTTCGATTTTCGGTTTTCATAAAGTGTTTCCCCATATAGAAATCACAGACGTAGTCCTACGTCAAAAAAAAATCAACGTTCGCTATGTTGGACTTAGTCCTCTTGCGCCACCTTTAAATATTAACGAAAAAAGCAATTTTTATATGTTTCTTATTTAGCCCCAAGAATCATTTTCCTCGTGGGAAAACATCTTTTTTTTCCTTTATTTAACGTCGGTCTCTGTTCCGCAATCTAGTGCCAATCACCGACGACAACCGAATGTGCAGGAAGGCAGCTTCCACACCTGCGTAGGATATCGCACCCATTCATAACACACATGGCCCGGGACCAACGGCTTTACTTCCCTTCCGAAGGAAGACGTGACCAGAGATTTTTATGCCTCAGAAAAATCCCACCGACCTCGAATGGGATTGAACCCAGACCCATTGGGGTGTTAGAAAGCAGTCACGCTTACCACTACACCACCGGCGTCGGCATCGTGGGAAAACATCTCCCCGAACGATTTTGAAAAATAAGCCCCACCCTAACGGAACAGGCATCGACAGGAAACTATAGTCGCTATATTCATAGTCTGGCGGATAGAATCTCGGGAACCAATTGAGCTTCAAATAGCGGAATCAATCTCAAGATATATTTTATACAGGAAATTGACTTGCACATTAGCGCCGCAGAGTGAGAAAATTCTATACTACTCTTTTCTATCCGCCTTGACTTACTGTGCAATTTTGCCGAAGACAGTACCCTTTAATATGGCCAGGATCATAATATATTCCATGTGGCCGTCTTACCCCAACGGATGGCCATCCTAATAAAAATGTTATGGTTAATTTGCTTAACGACGTGTTCGTGGTATCATCCAAACCTTTTGTGTGATAGTTCAATCAATTGGATTATCGTTAATTTTTTTTCATAAGGGGAACCTTATCGCGCGTGATTTTTTGACGTAGACTACGTCTTACGGGAATGTACTGGGGGTAAATCGAAAACCTAAAATTGCGACCGTCACGAAAAGGTGTAAGGTTTTGAACGCTTATAACACAATCTGCTACAACAAATGCTTTTCCAAATTTTCTAAAAAAAGAATCGTTGAAAAATGACCAAATAAAAAGTGATAAGTTTATCACTGTTTCAATCAAATAAACGTACTCCCCAAACTAAGCCGTCATAATCGAGTACCATTTGGTTGCGCATCGTTTTGCTTGAACCTGTAAAACTTTATAAGGGCTCTGCTATTGTTCCTCCGCTCATTAAAGCTTCGGACGGCGTGGCAAGCAGAAGCAGGAGCAAATCAGGAAAAGGTGCAATTTTGCCCTTTGTCTCTGCTGAACATTACTGCAATCAGGCTATAGCGCTGCTGTTGTGAATCCGCTCATTTTCGCATCGGACGGACGGTGTGGTAAAATAGCAGCAGTCAGCTTGATGACAACCAACAACGATGGGGTGGAGAGGATGTGTAATGTGTGGAGATCGAACAATTGGTTCTTTTTCAGGACCACACATGTTTTACAGAAAAAGTAATTGAGACGCTCAAATAATATAAAACGCGACACATGTTATTTTTATTTATCAACACCCCCCCCCCCCCCCACCCCCATCCTCCCACAACCAAACAAAAAATGACGTTAATTTTTCCCCCGCCAAAAGAGCCAAAAATTTAAGTTGAGAGAAAATTTGCATGTCATGTATGATGTACCTCTCACAGCTACAAAATAGTGTAAAATATGTCCGGTACGTCTTTATATGCAATTAGAATAACATCTGAAGTCCAACCTTTTTTACATATTCTGCACAAAAGATACTTTTTGCCACAACAACGGCAGGAAATCCTGCCAGGGGCGGGGCTTAGAAAGTGGTTTTTCTGCAGAGCATGTAAAAAAGGGTGGACTTCGGATGTTGTATACAAATTACAGATGCATTACTGTAAGAACTGCAAGTAGAGATGAACCAGCCTAAGGCTGAAAGTCTCGTTAATAAAGGAAAAAAAAATGTAAGAACTGTCAAAATCCTATGAATTTACACGCTAGTGTTCGTGAGATTCTGCTTGGCGAACTGAATTTGATGATTTTGGGCCATCCCTGTGTTGAAGTGGGATCCAGAGGGACGGTAAAAATTCATTTACATCTTTAAGTAGAGCTTTACATTGTTTGTTACAAAATTCGTGCACCAAGTGGATAAACGAGTTTCTGGGTGGTGCTGTGTTTAGTTCGGTCCAACAAAAATTAAACCTCTGAAAATGGAGCGTTTTTGTGTAAATGCAGGAATGGCAAAAGGTTAAGAGATATATTTCTGAATACTTGTAGTTCTAGTTCCTCATTATGTGCTTAAGAAGCGGATAAATTCCTACATTAAGCTATCGAATGAACATTTAGAATTATGATCCT